TTCTTCTGATGAATTTTCCTCTCGAGGACTCTTGGTATTTTATGAAGACTTCTCTTTATTTTATTTAATGACCCAAGCAATCAAGGCACTCTTGTCACATTAATGACTGGGAGCATGGATGGCTAGAAACACATCTCCTATCACTTATCTGCAACAATAAAGAGTGGAGAAAATACCTGATGTGTGAATTTGTGGCTATACAACATATATGACCATTGTTGAAACTCAGCAATCACAACTTGCAAAAAACAAAGACAACATCAATTTTCAACTGAGGGTACTATGTATTCACCAGGAAATCTAGAAAATCACATAGTTAAAAAGCAACATGGACAGGAAAGCATACATTATTAAAAGCAGGGGTGTGTGTGAACCAAGTATCTGTATGACTTCCTACAGCGGACTGAGGTGTCAAGCTAACTTTCCCTGTTTGTGTTACCTCATTTTATGCTCCCTCCCTAACTAGACCCTGTGACTTATTTTCCCAGAAACTTTGCAATGTGTTGGAGGACAGACAAAAGCAGTCACAAGGAATAATCCAGTGTTAGATGAGGACTTTGGTCAACATGATTGAAACCATCGAGTCTAGAGCTCAGCTAAAGAAATGAAAGGTGCAGGTTGTGAACTTGAAAACTGGGGCAAAGGGAAGAATTATTTCAATCTTCTAGTTTTGGTTTGACAATTGAGCTTCAATTAAGAATGTGTGATAATTAAGTACTAACACAGCAGAGTTAGGGTTATCAAGAGTGACACAAAACAGGTCACAGATATGGTTAGATAGCTAAAGATCACTGAAGATTAATTGTAAGGGAAAAAAGGAAAACTAGGCACTAGGAGTCCTCAAGCTTGCTAAAGACAGTTAATATATGGACAAATTTAGCAGAGAAGAAAGCACTAAATCAGACCCAGCTTTGTTAGCTGGTACAGGATTGATTTCAGGGGTTGGTGTTAAGAATCAGGAGGAAAGGTAAATAATAGCATAATCAAGTTGTCCATCAGTTCAAAGGTTTGAAAGTAGCTTTGGTAATCAAAGCAAAAGTTAAAAAAAAAAAACCACCTGGTCTGTATGGTAAACAGGAATTCTGGGAATGGAGATCTGACACTCTGCTGCCTTCACACATTGTTCACAGAGAAATTTTTGTAGAATTACATAGGACCACAGAGCTCAACATAATGAAGTATGGGTAGACATGAAACTGATGCTGCATTTCACAAAAACAAGATTCCCTAAGAGACAAGAAAGGGATTTTGCAGAGAAGCGGTCAATTTTTCATTCACTTACAAGAAAAGCCAAGGATAAATGAGTCAAGCTGCCAAATTTGACACAGTTCTTTTTTTTTTAACTTTTATTTAATGAATATACATTTCCAAAGTACAGCTTACGGATTACAGTGGCTTTCCCTGCCCCCATAACTTCCCTCCAACCCACAACCCTCCCATCTCCCGCTCCCTCTCCCCTTCCATTCACATCAAGATTCATTTTCAATTCTCTTTATATACAGAAGATCAATTTAGTATATATTAAGTAAAGATTTCAACAGTTTGCAACCACACAAAAACATAAAGTGAAAAATACTGTTTGAGTACTAGTTATAGCATTAAATCACAATGTACAGCACATTAAGGACAGAGATCTTACATGAGGAGTAAGTGCACAGTGACTCCTGTTGTTGACTTAACAATTGACACTCTTGTTTATGGCATCAGTAATCACCCTAGGCTCTTGTCATGAGTTTCCAAGGCTATGGAAGCCTTTTGAGTTCGCCAACTCTGATCATATTTAGACAAGGTCATAGTCAAAGTGGAAGTTCTCTCCTCCCTTCAGAGAAAGGTACCTCCTTCTTTGATGACCTGTTCTTTCCACTGGGATATCACTCGCAGAGATCTTTCATTTCGGTCATTTTTTTTTTTTTTTTTTTTTGCCAGAGTGTCTTGGCTTTCCATGCCTGAAATACTCTCATGGGCTCTTCAGCCAGATCCAAATGCCTTAAGGGCTGATTCTGAGGCCATAGTGTTGTTTAGGACATCTGCCATTCTATGAGTCTGCTGTGTATCCTGCTTCCCATGTTGGATCGTTCGCTCCTTTTTTTTTTTTTTTTATTCTATCAGTTAGTATTTTCAGACACTAGTCTTGTTTATGTGATTCCTTTGACTTTGAGCTTCCTGTACTAGGATGTGTCTGTCCTTCTCCAAACCCAGGAAATTTTCTGCTAGTATCTCACTAAAAAGGCCTTCTAATCTTTTCTCCCTCTCCATGCCTTCAGGAACTCCCAGAACCCAAATGTTGGGATTTTTAATAGTATTTTTTGGATTTCTAATTTCCTCTTCTTTTCTTTGGTCTGACTGTCTACTTTCCTGTTCTCTGTCTTCTAAGTCCGATATTCTCTCTTCTGCTTCACTTATTCTGTTTTTAAGGCTCTCTAATGTGTTTGTCATTTGATCTATTGAATTCCTCATTATGATTTCTCTTCACTATCACAGTTTCACGTTCTACTAGTTGCTTCATTTCATTTTGATTCCTCCTTAAGATTTCATTTTCGCGTGAGAGATTTTCTATCCTGTCCAGTAAGGATTTCTATAGTTCAAGAATTTGTTTTTGAGAACTTCTTAATGTTCTTATCAAATTTTTAAGATCCGTTTCTTGCACTTCTTCTATCTCATCATCTTCATAATCTCGAATTGGGGTGTCTTGTTCATTTGGGGCATCATAGTGTCTTCCTTGTTCTTGTTTCCTTGATTTCTGTGTTTGTTGTTTGGCCTTGTGGAGATATTCTTTGGTTTCTTCGCTGTAGTGGTTTTTCTCCTTATACTATGACTCTAGATTAAGTGGACTGTCTGCTTTTGATGGATCCTTAGAGGCTGTGATGGGTGTGGCCAGAGAGCTCTGGTTCTTCAGGAAGGTGACTCACCCAGGTTGTTCTCTCTCTCTCTCTCTCTCTCGCTCTCGCTCTCGCTCTTGCTCTCCCTTTCTCTCTCTCTTTCTTTTTTTTTTTTCTTTTTGACTCAGAAGGGCAGTAATTCTGCACAGCTGAACGGATTTGAGGGTAGTCGATATATGAAATCTGGCCCCTGTCGGTATTCGTCTGCTCTACCCCAGGGACCACACAAAGGGTCTATGCAGCCCTCAGTGTGGTCTCAAATTTCTCTGCAGTCTCCCCCTGGGTTGCCAAGGTTACTTACTGAGTTTGTGTACACCGTGAGTTCTCTCTCCCACCCTCAGATTTTCACAGTCCTCTGCAATTTTTTTCCCGAGCTTTTCCCTGAGACTCCAGTAACTCCACTTTTATTAAACTATCTTCTCCCGGACTATCAGTGCGCGCCCTCACTATTCTGCCATCTTGGCTCCGCACCCCCATAGTTCTTTTCTGTGTCTTCTACCGTGGGAAACTGAACTGATCAGTGCATTTTAGATTCCTCATTGTAGATCTCATTTTCCTGTGTCTTTTCTCTCTGTTTTCAAACAACTTGGTAGTTCTTGGTCTCATTATTTTAATAATGTCTTTATTTTAGCAACCCGATGAATACCTGGGTACTCTCAGTAAATAATGAAAAAAGCACTTTATCTGTAAAATACTGGATGTAATTTTAAGGTATTATAAAGTATATTTCTCTTCCAACACTTTTCCTAAATTCATACTCCACACCATTAATTAATCTAGGCCTATATGAGCCATCTGTGCTCATGAAGTCTGCAACAAAGTGTTTACAGATTATGTGCCTTTATGAATGTTTGATTCAAGAGAAAAGCAACAAACCAGCATAGATAAAGAGGTGCTGAGCTGGAACCAGATTTTTTATTTTCAGAAAATGTGATGAAATTTGTCTTTGTATTACTGAGATCATACTGTTGTTGATATGTTTTTATACGAATTATATATGTGAATCTTATTTTATTTTTCGATAAATACATTGCTAGATCAATCTCGGGAGGTGGGTACTTTCTAACCCTACACTGCCAGCTATCTTGATGTCTTTGCCCCACTAACATTACCTCACCCCAGACATTCATCCTTTCTTTGGGGGTTCACTGATTTCCTTAACATTTACAAAGGTACTTTGTTTCATTTTCATCATTCTGCCATCTTCCACTGTTACTTCTCCAGCTAGCTGGATACCATTTTCATTTTATATGGCCAGTGGTTTGGAAAAATGGTAGGATTCCTATGAAGATAATCAAATATAAGCATATTTGGGTAACACCTATCATCCCAAGGTACTCCTCCCTCCTTTCACACTACTCTTTATAGTTTTATTGAATTAAAGTCTCCATTACAAGGCATATGACTTTGGAATGACAATTGGTGCTTGGATATTTTGCATCTTAACAAAATCAGATGAACACAGGACAGGAAATTATTGGTTGCACAGAAGTACGTAGTAGAAAATATTACACATATACAGTGCATATTTTATACATGTATCTCCTCAGTGATGTGACTAACTTCTCAGCTGAAATTCAAAGGAAGAACTATGTATGTTTATTCTAAGTCAATATGTATAAAAGATTCCCCCATTAGAATAAGATACTTTTGCCTTTACTTTAAGACCATTTAACAATTTTCATTGCAGAAATATCCACACTTCTGAGGGGTCTCAAATGGCTGATGGCAAATGTGTGTTATGAAAGCAACTAAGGATGTGTTTCAAAATCTTTGCACCAAAATAAACATCTCTTAATTCTATCTTTCCATAATCTTTGTGAAGTTCCCTCATATTTGTATATTTGGGCATCAGTGTAATAAATTCATGTGTCATTCACCTACGTTCAGTATTTCTCAACCTTTAGCCAACTGTCATCGTTTTGAATATCCACATTCTGAGTGTGGGTCACCAATCTTTAACAGCATCTCCAACGCACATATTGACTCATGTGTTGAGCCACACACAAATCAATTTTAACTCACACACACACACACACACACATACACCCATTGTTCCTCCATGTTCCCCAACTCTTAATGCTGCCCCTGACTCTGTCTGATTTTTCTTTGTTCTTTCAGCTCTCTACTCTGATGGATTGGCTCTGTCAGAAGAAACGCCACTAAATTCAGGCTGAATGCAACCAACTCAAAGGGAGGCAAAGACCTGCAGTGTCTCCTGCCTACCTCGCTTTGCTCTCATGGCTGTGGCTGAGGTCCTGCTGCATGGGAGGTTCACTGTCCTGAAACTCTGGCTGGGAGTGGGTCTCTTTCTTTCTGGATGGCTCCACATTGGGCACTCTCAACAGCACAAGCACTCAGAAGTGGTAATACCCTTGAGGTTAACTGGCACTGGGAAAGGTATGAAGACTCCAGGCTGGCTCTCCTATAGCCTGCACATTGAAGGGCAGAGACACATTATCCACATGAAGGTCAGAAAGCTTTTGTCATTCAGACACTTCCCTGTGTTCACCTACACAGACGAGGGAGCTCCCCATGAAGATCAGCCTTTTATCCAGGATGACTGCCACTATCAGGGTTATGTGGAAGGACAGCCAGAATCCACTGTTGCTCTTAGCTCCTGTTTTGGGGGCTTGCAAGGAATGCTACAGATAAATGGCATTTTGTATGAAATCAAGCCCAAAAAGTTTTCTACCACACATGAACATCTGATTCATAGACGACATTACATTGAGACAGAATTCCAGTCTACGGAATGGCAATCAGCAGAAGAGATAGCAGAGCAACTAGGGTTTCAAGACAGTAAGAATCGCCCTCTTATGCAAGAAAACTATGAGGGGATGTGGACCCACAGATGGAATTTAGAATATGCAGTGGTTCAAGACCATCCACGATTCCTTTTCCGGAATGGCAATGTCACACAGATGATACAGGATGCATTAGTCGTGATGAATGAACTAAATTCTGTTTTTGATAAAATTGATGTGTTTATTGCTTTAGTTGGATTGGAGATTTGGAATGAACAAAACTTCCTGCCAAATTACACATCTATGAGTAGAATACTAAATGATTTTTGCAATTGGAAGATGATGAATTTGGATGCCCGAATGCCACATGATATTGCCCATATTTGGGTGTATTATAAGACTTGGCTGAATGCTGATTCAAAGGCGGGAAGTGTATGCAAACAGAATAGCTGTTCAGCCACTAAATTTTTATTAGATGAGGACTTACTTGATTTTGTACTTATTGTGGCACATGAGATTGGTCATAATTTGAATTTCCCACATGATACAGGGAAATGTACATGTGGGAGGCCCACATGTGTAATGTCTCCAACTGATCGTGTGACAGAAGCATTTAGCAACTGTAGTATTAATTCTTTATTAATAATTATGCAACAAACAACCTGTATGCGCAACACACCACATCGCGCAAAATACATATGTGGGGACGGTATGGTTGATGGAAACGAGCAGTGTGACTGTGGAACCTATAAGCAGTGTGAACAAGATGCCTGTTGTTTTACAAACTGTACTCTGAAACCTGGGGCTGTCTGTGCTTCTGGGCTTTGTTGCAAGGACTGCCAGTTCAGGGAAATAGGGGAAATGTGTAGAAAACAGGAAAATGAATGTGATCTTCCAGAGTGGTGCAACGGAACATCAGCGGAGTGTCCAGAAGATGTCTACATACGAAATGGACAGACTTGCATGGGAACTAGCCACTGCTACAACAAAAGTTGCCCTTCCCGGGAGAGGCAGTGCAAACAAATTTTTGGCGAGGAAGCCACGAATGCAAAGCAGGTGTGCTACAGTGAAATGAATACCCGTGGTGATCGTTTTGGTAATTGTGGTAATGATACCGTATCATATACAGCATGTGATACTACAGATGTTATGTGTGGGAGAATTCAGTGTGACACTGTGAAAACAATCAGCATGAATGAAGACCATACTTCTGTGCATTGGATTAACATCAATGGCACTTCTTGTTGGGGCACTGACTACCACTTCGGGATGACCATAGCTGACACTGGTGATGTGAAAGATGGTACAGAGTGTGATGTAAACTCTATATGTGTCAACAGGAAGTGCACCTTTGTGTTACCTCCAGTATATACTTGTTCACCTAAATTCTGCCATGAGCATGGAGTCTGTAACAGCAAAGACCACTGCCACTGTGACTCTAAGTGGGACCCACCCACCTGTGAAGAAGAAGGTATAGGAGGTAGTATTGACAGTGGACCCCCTGGTAAAAAAAGAAAACGCAAAAAACAAAAAAGAAGCGCCCTTTATATTTGGCTACTTATTTTGTTGATTTTATTATTGCTTTTGCTTTTATGTATGTTGTGTTTCCTTTGCAAGAAGAAGAAGAAATCCTCTGAGGAAAAAGAGAAAACTGCTCCTCCACCTGAGGGAACCCCTGGAGCTGCTCCTCCACCCCCAGAAACGCCTGGAGCTGAAGCTCCACCCCCGGAAACGCCTGGAGCTGCTCCTCCACCCGCGGAAACGCCTGGAGCTGCGCCTCCACCCGCGGAAACCACTGGAGCTGCTCCTCCACCCGCGGAAACGCCTGGAGCTGCTCCTCCACCCACGGAAACGCCTGGAGCTGCTCCTCCACCTGCAGAAACACCTGGAGCTGCAGCTCCACCCCCGGGAGAACCAGGTGCTGGACCACCACCCGAGGGAGCGCAGAGTGTTTCAGCTCCACCTTAAGGAGAGTAGAATCTCTTAATTCTCCTAAGATGAAAGGGGGAAGATTCACACTTACTGAAAATAACCCCGACCTTTGGAATTTCCCTTACATTTGTTTTTTCTGTTGTCCTGGCAGTAGAAATGTCATTGCATGTGGCAGAAAGACTTGAAAAACCTTTAAAACCCACTATGTCATCTCAATCATAAATGAAACCTAATAAATGAAGGTGAAGTCCTAGTATATTCATACTTCTCATTGCTTTAAGAAATTTTGAAGGCTTATTTTCCATGGAATTAGTCTCTTTGTTTCTCCTGACCAAAGGCAGTGACCAAGATGGGGTGGGTCGGGGTTCATTTTCTGTCTTGGTATTCCAAACCTCTTTCCTGTTTGGCCTCCTGCGTGTTTTGCCACACGAGGGATGGGAAATGATGACTGGCATTTCTTCTTGGCCAGACCCCCATTGGTTTCTGCCTATAAAGTACAAGCTAGACGGGTACTATAAACCTGTTTCAGTGTTGTCTCAGTACCAGCTTTCTCCATGGTTACAGCCGTAGCCTTCACTCAGGAAATTAACACTACGTATAGACATATTTAGTAGCTTCCAGAACCTGCATTAGTGTAAGCCCCAGGTATCCTAGGAGTCACCAAAGAGCACGTCCTAAGGATTGAGTCGCAGGTCTCTGAGCCCCTGCCAAATTCCAAAGGTCCCACCATCAAGCTGGCTGTACTCAATTCCCAAGCAGTAGGTTCAAACAACCCCAACCACTTCCCATTGAACTCCAGTGATCACTACACCTGCTAGTTAGATTGCCAGTGCTTCTCGTAGTAATGAAAGTTCTCATTTTGTGGTTGATCTCTGATGGATACAAAACTCACCAAGGTATAGTGAAGAGGACAGGGAGGAACCAGACAGCAGGAAGATCTAATTTTTCTCACCACTGGACTTTACCGTCATCGGGAATGATGTAAACAGACATAAAACATCTTCAGAACCTATAAACAGAGGATAAGGGCATTTGCCAGCCAACCCCTTTGCAACACAGATTATAAAGCAGGATAAGAAGATGTTTAGCATTCTGTGTAGGATACTAATAAGCCTTAGATAACAATATTTCCCCTCAGGTGGGGGAAACTAGAAATCCCAATTAAACTTTAGTAAACATATTTTAAAAGTTTCAGAGAGCTCTGGAAGCAAGGAGAACTAGATGAACTAAAACTTTTCATGGAAAACAACTTTAAAAAAAGCTGAGTATGGACAGCCCTTTTTCCTTGGGACATGCGCTGATGCTGGATGTACCTGAGGTTGAGGCCTGGCCTGAAAAAGGATCTCTGCTGAGAGAAAGGGAAAGCACAGATCTTCTTAGTTGCTGCACAGGAAAAGGTTCATGAAGTAGACCTTTTGAGGGCTTCGATATAGGATCGTGTTTCCTCAAAACACATTAGCTGTGTTTTGAGAGCCAGAGCTGTGTCGTAGCGGGAAAAGCCACTGCCTGCAGTACCAGCATCCCAATTGGGCACTGGTTCAATCCTGGCTATTCCACTTCCAATCCAGCGCTCTGCTATGGCCTGGGAAAGCAGTGGAAGATGGCCACAGTGCTTGGGCCCCTGCACAAGTGTGGGAGACCTGGAAAAAGATCCTGGTACCTGGCTTCAGATCGGGGCAGCCTCCAGCCATTGTGGCCAGTTTGGGAGTGAACCAGCATATGGATGACCTCTCTCTCTCTGTTTTCCTTCTCTCTCTGTGTAACTCTGACTTTCAAATAAATAAATAATTTTAAAATTAGCTGAACTCGTGGGCTTTGCGAGAGCCCCAAATGATAACCTGCAATTTTTAAAAAAAGATTATTTATTTTACATGAAAGTTATAGTTACACAGAGAGAGAAGGAGAGGCAGAGAGAGAGAATCTTCCATACGCTGGTTCACTCCCCAATTGGCTGCAATGGCTAGAGCTGCACCAATCTGAAGCCAGGAGCCAGAGCTTCTTCCAGGTCTCCCACACTTGTGCAGGGGCCCAAGCACTGTGGCCATCTTCCACTGCTTTCTCAGGTCATAGCAGAGAGCTGGATTGGAAGTAGAGCAACGGGGACTCAAAAGGACACCCTTAAGGGATGCTGGCACTGAAGGTGGTGGCTTTACCCATTACGCCACAGCGCCGGCCCAACCTGTAATTTCTAAGAGGCATAGTTTTCTAAAATCATGTCATACCTGAGACACAAGACATAGTAAAAGAGGGTTTGTTCCATTCAGAGGCTTTACTTGGGGTCAGCACTGTGGCTTTGTAGACTAGGCCTCCATCTGGGCGCCGACATCCCACATGGGTGCCAATCTGTGAGCTGCCTGCTCCTCTTCCAGTGAAGCTCTCAGCTCACGGCTGGGAAAGCAGTGGAAAACGGCACAACCTCGTAGGCCCCTCTACTCACGTGGGGGACCTGGAGGAAGCTCCTGGCACCTGGCTTCACGGTGGTCCTAGCTCTTGCTATTGTGGCCATTTGGAAATTGGATGACTTTTCTATCTGTCTCTCCTTCTGTCAGTAAATCTTCCTCTCAAATAAATAAAAATCGAAAATAGCAAAGATCCTTGGATGGACACTTAGCTACAAGTTAGGTATCCAGTTTTTTTTTTTTAAAGAGGCTATATGACAGAGATTAATAGTTACATACACCCCAAATGGAGAGTCTGGCAGTCTCATACCAGAACAACATGTTATTTGCAAGGAGAATTAGTCCACGATTTACTAAATATTCACTTTTTATCTCATCAATTCCTAAATGATTTATGTAATTGGCTTTCAAGTTTACCTTTCTAACAGGAAATGAAGAAGAATCTTTAGTGTAGTCATCTGGCGAGTCAGTGGTTGTTTTCTACACAATTATGAGTACATGATAAGATATTTCCAAACATGCTGCTATGGTTTGAATTCCCCTTCCAAAACTCAAGCTGAAACCTGGTTGCCAAGTAATGGCATTGGCAAATGGATCCCTTGAGAGGGGTTTAGCAGGGCCCTCAAGATGGATTGAGGCCATTATCATGGGAGTGAGTTAGTTACTGGAAGAGTGGCTTTGTTACAAAAGGGAATTCTCTGTCTCAAGCACTCTCCTTGTTCTTCTGCATGTCACCAAGGGAGGAGGCACCACGAAGGCCCTCACCAGAATCAGCTCTTCACTAGAGTTTCCAAGCATCTCTAACAGTGAGAAATAAATTTCTTTTCCCTATAATTGATCCAGACTGTGAAATTCTGTTGTAGCAACATAAAATGATGAAAGCCAAAAACTAATGCCAAGAATAAAATTCTTGCTATAACAAATACTTTATTGGAGCTGGGCAATGGGTAGGAGCTACAAAAATTCGAGGGACCAGGCTAGAAGAAGTGTTGTAAATATAGTTTTATGGGAAATTCTGCATAGGAGTCAGGATAAGAGAAGACTAGAGAAAGTCTAGAAATTTCTAGAGATTATTTTAGTGGTCATGATCAGAATACTGGAAGAAATGTGGACAGTAAGACTATTGATGATGTGTCAGATAAAAATTTGGAATAAGGTACTGGAACTGGAGGAAAGACAACGGTGATTATACAAGCCATCTTCAAAGCATTCATGAGAAATGGAATTAAATGGTAAGTGTCTTTTAGAGCAACCCATGTTTCATAGGAAGAGTTCATAGAAAATGGATATTACAAAATAGCTATGCATAGGTTTACTTTTGCACCAAAATAACTGTTTCTTTTAATTCCATGTACTATGAATTTTAAGGTATGCTTGTGCTATTGCAAAGAACTTGAGTGAACTGTGTCCATGCCCAGGCTTTGGCACAAATTAAGAGTGACAAACTAGAATACCTAGTACGAAAAAATACGCAAGCAGCAAAGTGTTTAATTGCTGCAGGGCTGCTTTTAGCCATCTACAGTGCTATATTAGGGGAAAGAGATTTCTTAAAGACAGAATTCACCATGAAAATGAGTGGACTCAAGGTGGAAAGATTTGGGATGCTCAACGATGCCAGTATAAACAGTGAAGGTCTTATTCTAGAGAGAACTCAAAAGAGGTGGCCAAGTTGCTGAGGAAATGATTAGTGTGAATGGAAAAAAGCCAGGGGATTTTCATCAAAACAATAAGAGGAAGAACTCAAAACATTTCAGAGATTTTAAAAGCTGCCATAGTGTCATCCTGTCCCTGCTCAGACTATTGGATCTTGGGCTCACTCTCCTGGGGTGCATCAAGTGTCTGCTCCCTGATTTCCACTGTAGTACTTGATAACTCCAAAAGTGCTCAACTGGTCCCAAGCAATACTCGAGCCACCTGTCCAGAAGCACAAGTAGCAAATCTTGGTGTAAAGCATGTGGTGTTAATTATGCAGAGACACAGAACAGAGAAGCTGGGAGATTACAGCTTCCTTCTGCCTAGATTTAAAGGATTCCACCTACGGTCTTAGAGCCTCCATAGCCACTGTCACAGGGGCATAACCACTGAAGTGTGACAGGTGTAGAGCCACTCTTGAGATGCTAGAACTGTTGTGCATCCAGTGTACAGACAAGCATAGGAGGGATTCAAACACCAGAGTCCAACCCAAAGGGAGCTGAATTGTAGGCTGAGCCCAGATAAGTGGTGGAGGACAGGAGATTCCTAAAGACTTGGAGGTCCAGCCTCCAAGGAACAAATAGGCCCCAGTGCCCCAGTGTGTGCAGAAAACATGCATGGAGTTAAAAAAGTTTACTCTCCTCCAGCTTTAAGATTTGGTGTTTTCCCTGTTGTTTTTCAGACTTGGTTGGGGTCAGTTACCCATTTCTTCTTGTCGTAGTATCCCTTTTGGTATAGAAACGTTTATTCTAAGCCTGTCTCACTACTGTATTTGGGTAGGAGATAATGTGTTTAATTACACAGGCTCACAGTGCATTTGCTCCAGAAGAATCATCCCTTAAATCTCAAACATATCTCAATCAGATGGAACTCCGGACATTGTACTTTTGAGCTGATAGCGAATCAGCTAAGGTTTGTGCAGCTATTGGGATGGAATGAGTTTTGCCTGTATGTGAGGAAGATGTGAGCTTTGGGAGATCAGGGACAGAAGGTTGTATTGTGGACAGGTAGGTAACTAAAATGGGAAGTCCTTGCTGAGGGACTTTCAGCACCTGAGCCAGAACACACATGCAGCACCCAAACTCACCTCTTTTTATACATGCTTCTGCACATGTCCAGTACAACTGAAGGCCTGGCATATATTCCCTTCATGCACCGGAGGCTCACATAGTGTGAGACACTATGACACTTTCCTAGAGATGAGCATGTGCGTGTGCTCCATCCCTATAGGGCCATGCATGACACTTTTCAGATTTCCAAAAAGGAGTTAGAGAAATGAGTGGTACTCAAGTCCTACCTAAATATCACCTACTATGAATTTTCAATTAGGTAATCTCCAGGCACCTGCCCCATCCCATAAATGACAACCTCAACTTAGGTGGGGGAAGAAGCCCTTCTGTCCTCATGGATGGAGGCTGCATGTACTCCCAGCTGTGTGTGTAATTTCTCTTTGCAATTAAATAAAATTTACTTTACATCTCTCAAGTTCTCCTGGTTGTACTCCGACATACAGGAAGATAAGAGCTTGAATTAAATCTAGCTGGGGGTCTTCCCAACCCAGGTGGGTTTTGAAGACTCCACAACACAATAGTTTAACTGTCTTTTAAAACTTGTATTGAATTTCATTGGAATGTAAAGGTGCTGGGGGTCAGCCACTGGTTCCAGTAAGCATTTAGTAAACTAACGCATATCCTGCCTGCCTTGTAGGCAGCCACACTCAGCCCTAACGTCAACGAGGCTGCAAGTCCTAAATGTATTGATTCACGGAAGCTGAGGAAACCAGCTAAGTGGTTTACTGAATGACTAGGCACACCAAGATCCATGCGAAACAATTCAGTTGCTCCATCCACCCTCCTGTGGCCTCAAGAAACAGTGCAACAAGCCATGCTTAGAGGCACAGACCACTGAGGTTCTGACAAACAGGTGTTCTGCCTGCCTACCCATCCTCAGCTATGAAAACATATGGACAGACTTCCCTTAGCTAGCCATACCACAATAACCTGTGGTGCAGCCCCCCATGACATTTGGTTCACTGGTATTGCCCATCCGCTAGGCAGCTCTCAGAGGTGGGCAGGTGCCCTTGCCTACTATCAATTGCACTATACCACGCCTACCTGGGCCCACAGGGTTGCCTCTGGCCTCACAGAACAAGCAGAATCTGACAAGCATCCCATGCCACAGTTGGGTACACAATCTCCAGAGCTCCTAGAGAACCCACCCTGCCCTAGGGAGCTGAATCACAATGGCAGCACAATCTCAAAAACCCGGTAGCTTTAGCAATAGTGAAATTTGCAGTTATTGCCAATGTTGATTACACCTGGAGAAGATACATGAAACAACACAAAAACACCCACCTGAAACCAAAGACATTACAGCATACCCAAGCAATACCCTAAGACACATTGCTAACAGTCTTTTACTGCAAAAGCTACTGATTCCATGGATTCAGGCCATTTTCATGGGAATGCATGAGTTATCATGAGAGTGACTTGGTTAGAAAAGCAGGTTCTGTCTCTTCGTATCTGTTCTTGCCCTTCCCATTGCCATGGGATTAACACACCACAAAGGCACTCACATGATGTGACCTGTCAACCTTGCACTTTCCAGATTCCAGTACTATGAAAAATAATTTTATTTTCTTATTAAGTGACTCAGTCTATGGTATCCTTTTATGCCAGCACTGCATGATCTCACTATCTTATGTCTTTGGGACTATCTGTGTAACTTAGAAAAGTTTGTACAATTCGTTATTTTGTCACAGATTTTTCTGTAAAAGTCATTGTGCCCAATTTGTGTGATGGCCTAGCTCAATTTTTTGTGCTCTTTTCAAGTAATGAGGGGGAGAAATCTCTAGCTATAACTGGCATGTATGCCAGGGATGCAAGTGCAGTTCAATCTAAGGAAACCAAAACACATAATCTATCATATAAACAGAATAAGGTTTAAAAGAATCCATATACTCATCTCAATAGATGCAGAAAAAGCATTTGATGAAATTCAACATTCCTTTATGATAAAAGCCTAAATGGGCATGTATAGGAGCAACACATACACCAATAAACGTATACACCAATAAACACATACATCAATAAAGTCTATAGTTGTTTAACTCATTGCCAACATTATACTAAATGGGAGAATTGAAAGAATTTACTCTAAGAAGTAAACAGGGATATTCACTCTTACCACATTTACCAACTAAGTTCTAGAAGTCTCATCCAGGGATATTAATCAAGAAAGAGAAGCAAAGGGTATCCAAATAAGAAAAGATAAGTTCAAATATCCCTGTTTGTAGATGAAATGATAACCCCTAGCACTCTACCCAAAACCTGTTAGAACTGATAAATAAATTCATTAGTGTTCCAAGACACAAAATCAATGTATAAAAGCCACAATCATTTTACAACAACAACAAAAAGTTAGAGAAAAATAAATCAATCCCATTTACAATAGCCACCAACAAATGATCTAGGAATAAATGTATCAAGGAAGTGAATAATTTCTACAGTGAAAATTTGTAAACTTTAAAAAAAGAAATTGAAG